CAGTCACTGTGCCCTTGGGATCAGGCCTCATCCTCTATGAGGAACCAGGTAGCAGCCTCCTGGCTCTGGAAGCTTTCCTTCCCAGAGCCATTTCCCAGGCTCGGGTTCTGTGGCATCAGTGGTGACAGCAGAGGGAGGACTGATCATTGTCCTTGACAATTGCATGTTGTCCCACGGATCCTCATTACCCCCAGGAAACGCCCCCAGCCTTGCTGCCCGCTCAGATGCTGGCTCCTCCACCAGGCCCCTCCTGCTCTCTGCTTTCCTCACCCCTCGCCCGTCACGGCCAGGTCCACTCACACCCATCCCTGGGGTCCTTGTGCACTCTGCCCAGCTGTCACCTTTGGAGAAACTAGTTCACATGCTGCTGTGGCTTGGGAGGGGTGGAGGATCCCCCATGCGTGGATTGTGGATAAAGGCTGGGTCCCCAGCTTGGGAGTATTGGGAGTAGTGGGAGCTGTGGATGGTGGGGTCTGGTGGGAGTCCCTCAGGTCCTTTGGGGCAAGAGGTACTTCTTGTGCCCCTCTCTTGCTGGTGCTTGCAGGAGAGGGGCTATAAAAGGAGCCACGGACACTGTGTCCACCCAGTCCTATCTGCAACTGGTAACAGAAGGGACCACTGTCTTCCACAAGGGTCCCCCATGGTTGCCAGCACCATTTGCCATGATGTCCTCCTTACAACAGGGCCCGTGTGGCTGCCAGGCCCTTCAAACTTCACAACTATTAGCTGATCTCTCCTTTCTCCAAAGGTGGCCTGTCGGGCCTTTTATTACACTAATAAAAACTTGACTGATATGCATGGTGGGCACTTTTGTGTGTTCTTGAGGCCAGAGGTCCCTTGAGGTCAAGGACAATGTCGTGGTCATGATGTTTACCCTCATCCTGCCTTGAATCGACCTTGCAACACACCAGATACTTAATCCATATTTATTAATCAATGATTGAAAGAAGAAGATGGGTGCCTAGATATTTTCCCCCTCACCCATAAGCCCATGGCAGAGAATTACAGACACATGTGTGCACAAAGCCTGCACAAAGATGTCCCCCCATAAGTATTCAGGAACACACTTGTTAAGGAGGACCTTGGTGCTAAAATTAATGTAAGATCCCTCTCCCTTTAGCAGAAAAACAGTGTGACTCATTGGGCTGAATCCAAGGGTGCAGTGCAGGGTGTGAGCTGGGGGAGACCTTGCCCTCAGCTTGTCAGGAAAGAAAGGAATCAGGTTATGGAGGCAGAGAAGAGGCAGGTCTTCTTTTTGCTGATCTGCATATTTGATCTCATTTTTTGTATGTAGGGGGCTTGGAGTCGGGTGGGAATCCTCGAAAGTCACTTCTGACATTCACATTGACCTGAAAAACAGGCACCCACAAGACACATCACTAAGGATGAAAGGAGACAGGCAGGTGCTGAGCCCATAGGTGTCAGGGCCCTTCTGCCCCCGGGCAGGGAGGAGGCTCTGAGACCCCTCTAGCGTTCACCTAGCGGGGGTCTCTCCACCCACTCAGGAGGGCCACAACTCACCTCAGCGGAAACACTTATGTTCACACAGAGTGTGATAACACAGACAGCGAGCACTGCTCCAAAAATGATTATTTCAGAGAGCTGGAAGCAGACGGGAGGAGAGGCCGTGAGGGCAGCTCTGGGACCCACACGTCTCAGCTGGAGTCGGGTCTCATGATGGACCATCCCAGGCTCCTGTGAAATCCCTGTCCCCTCCCAGGCTCAGGGGAGAATGTCTCCTGGGGCTTCCTGAGGCCAAGGGGGGGAAAGAGTGGCTCTCTGACCCCTCAAGGCCGGGGCTACTGCAAGGAGAGGATGTGGCTGCTGGGCCAACACCTGGACGGTGGCTTCAGGTGACAGGGGGAGGTCTCAGGGAGCAAGACAGTGACCAGCTAGACTGTCCTGAGTGGGCAGTGAACAGGGCCCTGAGGGTGTGGACCAGTGACAGCGAGGACATGGAGATGGCGAGAGCAGAGGTGGCACCCAGCAGCGTGGGGCGGGCGGAGCTGCAGAAACAGGCTGCTGGGGGACTGAGGCACAGAGCAGGGGCAGCTGGTGTTCAGGGCTGGGCAGATTCTGCCTCTGATGGCAACCTCCCCTCACTCTGAACCTTCAGGGAAAGTGGGCTCCTGAGACAACCTCGAGGTGGGTGACAGTGGCATTTTGTTGGGGAAGCGATTAGGGCCACCACTCTGCCTTTGGAAAAGAGCCAGTGAAGTGGTCCCCATCTGAAGTCACTGAGCAGCAGCAGGAGGAGCCAGGGAAATAGAAGCCCTCTGCCTGTGGTCCCGGGGGCCCAGGAGCTCGGGGTCCCCCCAGCCCTGGGAAGAGAGTTTGATTGGAATCCATTTTCCTCCGAGAGGCCAAGGAATGGTCCCAACTGTCATTTGGGTTCCCCTTATATGAGGTAATAAGTAGGAGAGAAGCTCTGCGTGGCCCAGGGCAGGTGCCAGTCCCCGATGGCAATGACACCCAGTGGCATTGCCAACAGCCAGGAGCTCAGGAGTGTCCAGCAGGCAGAGCTGGAGCAGTGGAGGCATCTGTGGGTACAGATGGGCAGGAAGAGCACCCAGGAGGCCAGTCTACGAGGGAGACGGGCACAGATGCGGATCATTGTAACTCAGAGCTGCCAGAAAGGGGCATAAAGGAGAGGGAGGGAAAGCAACCTCAGGGCGCTGGGAAGGCAGGCGACGGCGGCTAAATCAAGCAAGAAGGTTCACAGCAGAAGGAAGGACCCTTGTCGATGATGCAGGTGTTTTACAAATAGTTTTTAAACAAAATTCTTCTATTCGTAAAGGCTTCCGTGGGAATGGGGTCCTTCATGCCCTTTGAGCTTTCTTATTGGATGGGAAATGATCCAGGCCCGACACACAGTCCCAGAGCCCCCATCCTTGGGTGTCCCTGGGCAAAGCTGTCCTGCAGTGCACCCTGTGCTCAGACGGGACGACCTGGTGAAAGGTGGGGCTGGGGAATGCTCTCTTTCCAAGGTCAGGCATGGGCAGAAGTGGCGTTAGAAGCCACGTTTTCTGATTCCAAACTTCCTGCTGTCTGTGCCTCGTGACACTGACCCATGCAGGGACTTTGCCTGTCCCCAGCCTCCCCCGCTTTCTTCTCCTCAACTAGCGCTGGCTGCAGCATTTCTCCCCCTGGGCAGCGGGGCAGCCCTGGTGGGTCCCTTCCCAGCGGGGAAGTCCCAGTAGTCTCCTGTGCCCCGCTCTCTCTGGAAATGGGAGTCACTGAAGCCAGGGTGAGCGGGAGAGTGTAAAAGAGGAGCCTGTGGGGCCCAGTGGGACAGAGCCAGGCCCCTGGTGGGTGTTTAGACCTTGACCCTGGGAGCCATGGACTGTTTCTGGAATGGGAGGAGCTCCAAGCTCTTGTTCCTGAGAAATGACAGGGACTTGGGTGGTTGGTTCTCTGTGGAGGAGGAACATTGGAGGGAGACTGTCCCCAGGCGACCTTCTGGTTGAATACGAATTGCAGCTAATGTCCTCCCTGTACTCAGGACGCACTGGAGTCAGCAGGAGCATTCGACCATTTGATGAGGTGGATTAGGAAACAGCAAACCTGTGCCAGCCTGGCCCTAGGAATCTGAGCTAGGACCGCGCAGGAAGCAGGAGACTCCTCTGCCCTGAGGAAGTCAGTCCCAGTGAGAGGAGGCAGGAGGTGAGCAGGGGTTGGGTGTGAGAAGACTCTTAAAGATGGGTAAGAAAAAAAAAAAAACACCACCACAACAAACAAACAAACAAAAAATAGAGGAGAGCAGGGTGCTGGGTGGATGCTGGGGATTTTAGGCACAGTTGTCAGAGTTTTCCGGTGTCCTTGCTGAGAAGGCAAGTACTCAGGAAGGACGTGGACGGGGGAGGGCGGCAGACATGGTGGACCTGGGGGAAGAGCCTGCTGGTCACAGGGAACATTCCAGGCCTGGAGGTGGAGAGATGCCCCGGACGTTGAGAAACCTCAGGGGTTGAAAGCTGCATAAGTGGATCAAGCCAGAGGAGGGCAGTGGTGTCCAGGGCTGGAGGGCTCTGGGTGGCCAGAGTCTTCCGATTTGGTGAGGAGGTTGGCTGTGTTTTCTGAGGAAATTAGCATAGTGGAAGGTTCTGTGTGAGTGGAGAGCTGTTATGATCTTGTGTGTCCAAGTGTTCCTGGTGGGTGCCGAGAGGAGGCCAGGACAGAGGGAGGAGCAGGCGAGACTGTTTCAGTGAGTGACATGAGACTTGTCAGGGCATCGGCCAGCATGACCATGAAGAAAGTGTGTGTGTGTGGGAAACGGCTGGATTCTGGGTGCATTTTGATAGATTTTAATGGATGCACCAACAAGATTCCTTGAGTTCGGTGTGTGTGTGTGTGTGTGTGTGTGTGTGTGTGTGTGTG